TAAAAGGTCTACTGAAACTGTCAAAATTAAATGTTTACATTATTATTTATGATTTTAAATGGATTCCCCACTGCATGGCAAGTTTTTTTATAGTTTCAACAAAATGATGAATTTATGATACGTTTTAAATGTTTGGTTAAAAATCTATGCTTTATTGCTCTTAGATAATTTTAAATTATGAAATAAGTGTGACATATCAATTTCAAAGGACTATTCCTTATCGGGTTAGCTTATATATATTGTAAGGTTGGCACTTGCCTTTTTTCCTACTTTCAATCATCATTTATTTTTAAATTCAAGAAAGAACACCTGAGATTCATTTATTGGTATACAAGTTTTTGATAATCGGGTTGAAAATTGTGTCATAGATGAGTACGTTGAGGATGAGAGCTGTGTTCAAGTTTTGGAATAGACTAACTACGGAGTCTATGGTTTTGGTGAAGTAGGTGAACTAATGTCAATTCAGGTATTAAAAAAAACTAGGGGAAACCCGTCGAAATCGACGGTTACTTTCAAGGCTTACGTTAATTCATCTAACTGCGATGCATTGGGTGAAATATACATATTTTGAGCATTTAACATTGTTCAAAGAGTAATAAGTGTAAAAAATTACAATATTGCGTTAGTTGCCAAATTTGGTTGTTCATTCAATGATTAAAATATTTCCTATCCTGTACGTCATCGGAGTTATTATAAGTATGTTATATGGTATCTCTTCCTTTGGTAGAACCTTTAAATAGTATTTAAATCGTATTGGTGGATCTTGTAGTTAAACACTTCCGCGACTTCATCAGTGTTTGAGAAAAAATATATGTTTGTTGAGAAGACACGTTCTAACTTCAAAGGGAGTTATATCCGTTACAGTGTAAGTTTGATTTTCCTTCGTCACGTCGCGTCAGTTCATATCGTACTTCTGTGCCAATGAATGAACCCTCTAGCATAGTTTTGAGAAATTGACTATGGGGTTACTGATAAAGCTGGAATTCCTTGACATGGGGGATGTCAGTTAGTTGTCTCGGCCTTATCAATAACATAAAGTTGTCAATACAATCTCTCTACGGAATGTTAGGTGTAGTGGAATGCATGAAGTAAAGTTGGCTTTTATTCTTGAACTGTTAGGGGCCTCCTAGTTCATATGATCTTGACGGCTTCATTGGCAATAAATAATGCAAATGACATAGCAATGGAACATTTCCAAAAAGCAAAAATACTGTAAAATGGCTGTTACGTATATATTGACGTTTACATATTGTTAATCAACGTATATGATAAATACTTTAATCCTTTAATACGTTTTTTATGGCGACCATTCATAGTAGGTGAGCCAAGTATGAATGGAGATGAGTGTAGGATGAGTGGCACGATCTTGAAGTCTTGTTAGTGACTAAGGCCGACATTCCTTGGATACAGCTGTTAACTAATAGCCAATACAGCGAATGGCAACCAAGGGACCTACAGTTTATAGTTGAATTGGTACCAAATTTTTTTTGCATTGGTATTTATGAATTGGTATAATTATCAGGATAGCACTGCGGGTAGTTGTAGTACTCACTCGTGCGGACGTTAATCCACACCAGGGAGTATCGCATCCACAGTGCATTCCTATAAATATCCACAATTCGTGACCTAGTAGCTGGATTATAGGACGACGCCACCCGTCCCAGTCAAAGGATTATGTGATCTTTAAAGGGAATATGACCTTTCTGTCATGACAGTAGCTGCTTAAATTGTATTTTCTCTTTGTACCATATTTTACAGCCAAAATTTCGTGTTATTTTCAATAATGTTACAAATTCGGTGCGCCAAAGTCCGTAATATAGGCAGGTGCAAATAATTTGTCAAGATAGGTACCATTTTAGGCAATGTTTCTAAGTTTGGATTTTATTAGACACAATAAGAACAGATATTTCTACATAAATATTTGATATTTTGTAGAATAATATGTTAAAATGTAGGCAAAAGTGGCGAAAAAGGCACACACCAACCCGTACAATAGATATAAGATAGTTCAATAAGAAATAATTTAAGAATTGCTGTGATAAAAGGATTTTCCACTGATTTCGTAATGGAACGTTATATTGCAAAACATGGCATGATAAAGAAGAAAATAAATTTTAAAATCAGAAAATAACATTGCAAATACTTATTTGGTTGAATTCAACTCCCAATAAATATGTGTTGTTTGAAATACAATTTAAAAATGAACAGCTGTTTCATTAAAAAGTATTATTCTCATGGCCAAAATGTAAACAACTCTGTTGAGGGATCTTTTAAGGCTTCTGGGGCAGAGTCCTAAGGGATTTTGCTTAGTTTTTCTTTTGATAACTCATCTACAGACCAAGACCTTTCTTTGGACACCTCTACCAAGTTTCTACGCCCAACCGTTCTCTCAAATTAGTGGGGACAAAGTTTCCAATCAAATATTAAGATTCCCCCATGTTAATCTTATGGGAGAAACGCCAACTTTGATGGCTTGTAGGGCAAAGCCCGAGGATTTTTACTACATGAATTGGTGAAAGGGGGCGTCTACACAAAAAATACTTTATTTTGACACGTCGTTTGTAAAAATCCGTCCATTATTAACGGAGGAGTAGTGTTTTCTAGAAATCGCCTTCACGTATTATATATAAGGATGTGTACACAGTTTTTACTTTGATGTACACATGTAGCTAGGTCGAACAACGCATCTAAACCTCCCTACATACAAAACATTCGGAAACAAAACAGTGTCATCACATCTCATCGCATTTGCATAATTTGTTACCAAGGCTGGACTAGGTTATGGATTTGGTTCCGCAAATGTTCAAGATTTGTGATAAAATTTCCTACAATTATGGTTTATTCCAATCCACGAAATACATGCACAGCTTTATGTGATCTATATGGCCAAGGCAAAACTACCCCACAAGTTAATGAATTATCAAGTAAGAACAGGATGATTAAATACATGGGTCGATGTGGCAAGAGAAGGAATTAAAATTGCTGAGATCGAAGTAAGAATCTTACTGCTTTCTAGAGAATCAGATATTTTTATCAAACAAAAAACTGATTTAATATGCTGATAGAATTCTGTATTTTTATGACCAAAGATGAAGATTACTTATAAATCAGGATACAATCTGAATCCATCGCAGTTAGCTGAATTTACATAAAACCTCAAGATTAACCGTCGATTTCGACGGGGTTCCACTAGTTGATTTTTATTTGTAAAAATATTGTTTTTAGTTTTTATTAGTTTATTAACTGTATGTTTTTACTATAAAAACACAATATGAAGTAGTCAGATTTCTAAACACCTTCTATGGATGACTTTCTACAATGTTCCGTGGTTAACCTCTGTCAAGTTAGGTTATAAAAAAAAACTAATCAATCTTTGTTTTTACTTAATTTTTAGTCCGGTTATTTATTCAAAATTTACTTTCTAATTGAGATCCACACCAAATTCATGTGTAGAACCTCGGTTAACCGAGCCTCGCTTAACCGAGACTCCGGGTTAACCGAGGCCGTCCTCGGACAATTTTTTTTATTTAAAAAGCAAAAGAAACACGCACAAACTACATACAGTAATGAGCGTTTGGGTGCTCCTTTTATCGCAATACGCACGCTAGCCTGCAATGCGTTAAAACTACTGTACAGTAAAATGTTGGCAACTGTTGTGTTTCCTCGGCCAAATATTTGCGTAGCTTAGCGCTTATCTTTGCCGAATGCATACGGCACTGTCACCCGACACCGCTCGCCAGAGCAGCTGCAGGTGTTGTAACCCGACACCGCTCGCCGCCGGACCAATGCGAACTGTTTCAATGCCGAGACGCGACTGAGCCACTCGCTCTCCCCACCACCCTGATTCGACTCCGTAGCTTATTGCGCATCTAGTGGGCTGACGCTGACGATTTAGTTTGGCTACGACGCTGGCGCAACAGGGCGGCTAGCCTAAGATCCTCTAATCTAAGTCAAAAAACAATAACTGATTTTTTGGGAAAAAAGATTAGCTTACTTTGTTTATTTTTGTACAATGTACAGTAAATTAATTTTCGTTTCTTTGATTTAATTTTGTAAACAGGAATACTGTACTGTACTGTAACTAAACATCTGTACATTGTGTAGCCTATATCATACGTATTCAGTTGTGCAATAAATTGAGTGTTATATTAAAACAGTGTTTAGTATTGTGAGTGTTACCGTTTCCTCTCACGTTTTATTGCGTACTAATAACATTTCTTGTACTAATAAACTAAACAACAGTTCAGTTAATAACTTTTGTTCATGTTTTAGTATATCTTGAGCTATTTTTAGTCCCGGTAACGATTTTTAGGTTACGTTCCGTGTTATCCGAGGTTCGCCGTATCCGAGGTACCCTCGGTCCCAATTACCTCGGTTAACCGAGGTTCTACTGTATTAAGGCTTCATGTTTTAACAGAGTGCAGGTGGAGACACACGAATGCAAACACGAATAGGCTCTTGTTTAAGCACGCCTACAGATTTATTTGGTTTTTTGTTTTATAATTCTCTAAAGCCTATGGACAAGCATAATTGAGACATTCAATAATTGATCGAATGTCTTATCGTATTAGAATATTTAACTATTAGAGATTCTATTACGATAAGATTGACTTAGTTACTGTTAAGATAGACCTAAGATACTGTTTTTATAATTTAAATATTAACAATTAACTAGTAGCTATCCTGTGTGACTGAACGGTATGTTTTAGAAAATATAGTCATATCTATGTATAAACAGTAGGTTTGGGACTATGAATTGGGAGCAACGATGAAAAATAGCAATGATATGGTATACAACGTTGATGTTTTAAATGTTTTACACAGTTTTCTTAATTGGAAATCGTTAAACAAATAAATTTAACATACTGTACTACAATTCTAAATATTGTTTTTGTTTTATTATGACATACACGCTCTTGTGGCCTCATCCTATTTACTGCCTCGCATACCTCAGTCCAGAGAAGAAGAGAGGTGGTCATAAAAACGGAACACAGTTTAAGAAATATAAATTGATTTAATAAATTATAAAACAGTTTGCGCTATCCAGTCCAAGAAGTTGTTGACCCTAGTGTAGACTCCAGGTTTGTCTTTGACGCCACAGCGGATGCCCCAGGAGACGATGCCGATGATGTCCCAGCGGTCGTCACTGCGCTGTCTCACGAGTGGACCGCCGCTGTCACCCTGTCACATACCGTACACATGACAAACCAATCCTACAATATACGTCAATAGTGTTTGCATAAACTAGCAGGTAGAATGTTTGCAATACTAGCTGACTGACCTGACAAGCGTCCTTGCCTCCCTCGTAGGCGGCGGCACACAGTGTAGAATTGAAGATAGTCTGTGCGAAGTTAGGAACACACTTGGCCTGGTCCCACACTGGCACGGGCGCCTCCATCAGGACACTGGGCTGCAGTCCGCCAAACTCCAACCTGCCCCATCCTGGAAGTATGGTAGGTAGAATGTATGTTACAGTTTAAACACCCTAGTCCGTTGGTGGTGGAATTATAAAACTGAAACTGCGTCCATGCTAGGCCAGAAAGAAAAAATAAGAGTTACAAGCAATACAAGAACAATACTTTTAAAGTGCTAAGCCCAATGATACCAAAATATACCATAACTATTTATCACAAAATAATAAAATTCAAAAAAGTCCTAAGCTAAGAGAAAAATATATTGTACATCTATAAAATAGTAAAAGGCAAAATACCGTAACCCGTAATTTAGTAAATTAGAATATCATATTTTATTTGTTTATTAGCCTTTTGTAATTTTTGTTAAATGCTTACTTCAAAAATAGCCTATGTGCCGAAACTAGGTAAGTTTAAAAAATAATTTTAGGGTACTCATTGTACCATGTTTAAAAGTATAATTACTGTACTAATTTACATATTAAGTTGGATTGTTTTCCTGGACCTATCTAGTGGCTACTAGAAGTTCTCAATGTGGAGGGCACTACTTCTTGTCATTTAGTTCCTTCGTAATCAAATATTATTATAAGATTAAAAATTTATTCAAAATTGTTTTTATAAGGTCCAGAAAACCAGTTGCTCTGTTCACAACACAGACATTACCACGCCAAGACCATAGTATTCAAACAGGGGTTTTGGCTTGGTGACGAGAATACTGTTCAATCATCAGTCTTCCCAACAAAAACGACGATAATTTTAAATGTCTCGCCCTAAATGATTACGTTAATTTTTATAACTGGAATGACGTGTATTAAATATTATACAGGAAGGGCATAATTATACTGGTAGGTTTCCTGCCAACATAGGCAAGACAACAGTTTAAACAGTATCGTTGCCTCACCTGTGACCACCGCAATGGTATTGGCGTACCGAGGCCCAGGAGCCGGCAAACAGCAGGGTTGGATGAAGGAGTTGTAGACTGTCGTAGCGTTCAATGTCAATATAGCGATATCGTTCTCGTAAGAAGTAACATCAAAGTCCTCGTGAACTGTCATTTGAACAACTGCGTAGGCTCTGGATTTGCTTTCATTTGGCTTCTTCAGATCATAATCTCCAAGGAGGACGATCACTTCATCAGGATCCGCTCTGGAACATACATGTGTGATACTGATAGAAGTATTCTCCATCCAACTAAAATTCAATTATAATTAATTGCTGTTAATTTTATGGAAGATTTGTTCTAAGAATTAACTGTGACTTCGGGAAACAAATTCTAATATTCGTAGCTTCCCTGAAAGAACATTAGTCCAATACATATTTTTGTAGGCGACGGGAAATCCCTTAAGCCCTTGAGTGTCAATATCACTTACCCCAAAAATCTAAGCTTTCAAGAACTTTTAATGAAGTTCAACTGACCTACAGTTAATTTAACACTACTGTATACAAACACTTTCTACTATCCTCTGCTTCGCCTCCATCGTAAAAGTTGAGCTCGGGTCGAAAATAATCACTTTACGCCCTAGTAATGAAATATACTATTAGTAGAAAGCTAGATACTTGCTTACTAACATAATATAGAGGATTAAGTCTATTACATTGTAATCAAGTCAGAATTGAACCTCACCGACATGTATGTTTCAAACATTTTGGTCACAGTAAAGGTGATAAGATGACCGACTGACCCAACATAGATGCACTAATATCACTACTTAAAGCCTACATGGGGAAACAGTGTGCCACGGGGACCATACCTGGGGAAGTGGTGAGCCGCGGGGACCATACCTAAGGTAGCAATTAGCCAGGGGGGGGGTGTACCTGGGGAAGCAGTGAGCCGTGAGAGACATACCTGGGGAAGCAGTGAGCCGTGAGATACATACCTGGGGAAGCAGTGAGCCGTGGGAGACATACCTGGGGAAGCAGTGAGCCGTTAGAGACATACCTGGGGAAGCAGTGAGCCATGGGAGACATACCTGGGGAAGCAGTGAGCCGTGGGAGACATACCTGGGGAAGCAGTGAGCCGTGGGAGACATACCTGGGGAAGCAGTGAGCCGTGGGAGACATACCTGGGGAAGCAGTGAGCCGTGGGAGACATACCTGGGGAAGCAGTGAGCCGTGGGAGACATACCTGGGGAAGCAGTGAGTCGTGGCAGACATACCTGGGGAAGCAGTGAGCCGTGGGAGACATACCTGGGGAAGCAGTGAGCCGTGGGAGACATACCTGGGGAAGCAGTGAGCCGTGGGAGACATACCTGGGGAAGCAGTGAGCCGTGGGAGACATACCTGGGGAAGCAGTGAGCCGCAGTTAGGACGTGGCGCCTCGTGATGAGTGTCCCGCCACAGAACTGCTTGAACGTCGCACGGTAGACCAACGCCGCCATCCACGGCCAGTCCCTCACTGTCGTGGGAGCCACCTTCGTAATCGACGACATCTTCTTGCCGTTGCGACCACAAACTGAACAAACACACTCATTAAAAATATATGTTTATGTAACCTATGTTTGTTAAAAGCACTTTAAAACACTAATAACAATTTCTTGGTAACGAAAAATGGTTAAACTTATAGTTATATTTGTAACCATCTTAAAGTTGAGACAAAACTATTTTAATTCAAGGTAATGAAAATACCATTAGCATTAAAAATGTGAGGAACTGTTAAATGTCGTCAAACGTTCTCCAAAGATAAAATTGCCAACGTGCTTGTCGAAATGGCCTCTAAAATCAAACCACTTAAAAACATTTAGGATATTAGACATAATACGACAAAGCTTGAGCCTTTTGTTTTAAAAACAACCTTCGTACGCCCCCCCCCCCCCGGGGGGTATTTACAAAACCCTTTATAAATTTTGATCAAACTTTTTAACTTTCATGTTTTAAGGATAGTGTGTTGCACAGAAAAGATCACCACTTGAGGAAAATATAAATAAATAGCACATGGATGGTATTAATAATTAAAACTCGATGTAATAGTTTTTCGTGGTAAAGAGATGTTTTAAAATGCATAAAAAAATACTTTTCCTCCCCATATAATATGCTCCAAATAATCTAATTAAAATTTTTTTTTTTCAAATTAAATCTTATTATTTGCTATGATAGTTTTGTATTTTATGTGTCATTGGTATTATTTATTAATTTGTATGTTCACACGGTTGGGAGACTTTCAGGATTAAACTAATCGTGTAGTTGAAAAACTATCACGAATGTGATTGAAAATGTATTGATGTGAAGTTATTCTCAATCTTCATAACCAGACTGATGAACGTGTAGACGCTATGTAGCTATGTCCTGGTCTCGGTACTCACCCCTGAAGTCCCCGAGAGGGTAGATGTCCTCCGGCAGGTTGGGCGGCGCTGCCGGGGCCTGACGTCGAACCTGTCATACATATAACAAACTTTAACATTTAAATTTGCTTGATCATTTAAATTGCAAGATTTTTAATATAAGCCACATTCAACCAATATTGTGAGCTAGGTAAAATCTTTGTAATGTGCATTGTTTAAAATTATTTAAACTGTAATAAGATTTTAACTTTGGGTTCAATAACTTCAAGAGATAACAAATTGATAAATATTCATCCCAATAATTTGTATTCAAGTTAGAGGGCTATGTATTCCAAAGTAACAGACCAAAGTATGAGTAACAGTTTTTTTTATATTTAAATATTTTGTAAAGATGTAAGCCCTAATATTCAAATTATTTTAATAAACAAATTGTTTCGAATAAAGACTATGAAACTAGTGTACCTGCTCAATGGTAATTTAGCTGTCGAAAATTTTAAACGCAATTGTCCAAGGCCCCACTAGAAGTGGGGCCTTGAATTGTCTCTCTCATTTACATAACAAGTTGAAAATAATTATTTTAATGAGCGTTGCTTATCAAACAAAACGCGAGTTATGCTACAATAGTTGACCATAGCTGCCAAGTGACCTACCCTCCACGTAAAAGCATTATCTGTGTGTAGGCGCGGCTGGTGGTGAAGTGGCTGGACCCCTGCAATACAAAATGATATATTAATGCCTCAGTCAGAATTAATAATATAGTAAATTTGAGCTGAATAATGTAGTAACATATTCTCATTTATTAACTATGACTAATTATAGAAGTAGAAGAGTTGCTTACGTTTAGTAGAGTGTCGTTAAGTTGTATGCGAGTTGCGTACACTACTTTACCCATGACCGGTTTTTAATTACTAACAATCACTACTCATAACGTCTAATACAGGTTATGTTTCCGTGTATAACCTCTCATTGCAACTAATTGTGATGCAACTACACTTTGTCCCAACCACTCACTCATTGTATAATCAATTAAAACGGCTTTAACAGCTGATAAGTTGACGTTCGAATCATTCAAATTTTACTTATTTTCTCTCTATCCTTGAATTTCATTGGTCCAAATGTGTACTGCAAAGTAACAAAACGACGCTGTTAAGTAAGTAAAAAAGTAAAAAAAGTTTATTGCTGTAAAGTGAAACTTTTCAATTCTATGAACTGAATTTAAAAGGCTAGTTTAAAAAACGGCGGTAGGTAATAGTATAAAGTATTTCATAAAAAGAGTAGAAAGTGAGTTCATCTAAACATTATTTTTCGCTACACAACAACGACTAATTATTTTCTTTACTAAAACATACAGTAAGTAAGATAAGTCTTTTTTACAGTTAGAAACATTACAAAACGCATGGCATTTTTAGGTTATGCCTTCAACTTAAAGTAGGTATTTTGGTTGTACAGTTTTGGTCAATAAAATTGAAACAGTTAACAAAAAATAACAAATGTTTGTTTACGTCGGTAAAATCCAAAAACGATATTAAATATTACTTTCGCATAGCAAACATTTTCTTCTACAGTTATCTGACAAAGTGGCCTTCCTTGCTCTGATTATAGCACATGAAGTTGCCAACTGCTGCATCTACTTACTTTTGCCACACACTTTTTACTTTTGCCAAACAGTTTTTTTTCGCACAACAGTATTCGATACAGTATTTCAACCAAACAACACAAAATACGTAACATGTATGCTAGAAAATGAGTTAGCAACACTTCAAGTTATTACGACTACGATCAGCTGGTGCAGCGTTTCCCAACGTTCAATGTTTGGATTTAACCTAACATCAAAACATGCTGTACAGTGTTTGAAAGACTAATTATTTATATGCTTTATAGTAACTGTAGGGAAAATATAATCTGTAATGCGAGTGGAAACTGCCTTTGCTGCACTCGAGAAACTTTCTACACTCACCTACGCATAATACTACCACGTAGTGTTATGCGTAAATGAAAAATGTTAAAATGATTTCACTACAGCTAGTGTGAAAACATTTTCCCGTGTGCAGCAAAATGTCACTTCGCCCTCTAGTTACACAAATAACTATTTTTGTAGTAAACGGTGTAGTGATGAATTTTCGCAGGTGATAAAAATGTAACGAAAACAGATCATTTCGCACACAGTAGCAGTGTAGCGAAAGATCATTAACACATATTCCACATGATCAGATGCTGCATACCGGCAGGCCCATTATTAACATAAGTCTCTAAAGAAATCAAACTGTCATAATTATTTGCAAATCTACACGGATAAAGCCTTTGATTAACCTAGTAAGTGATCAAATTGGCACAGTAGAACTGTAAATTTATTTGTACAAAGTTTAACAAAAATATATATCTTTATATTTTCTTATACATTTGGGGGCTGTTCGACCTATTGAAATAAATTTTAAATGGTGAGTATATCGTCCAAAGTGGACGATAAATGACCAAAGTTGACAGTTATATTTTGAAAGGGAATAAAATTTCCTAAAAAATACTACTATGCATTTCTTGAAAATACTCAAAAAGGCAGCCAAAAGTTTCCTCCAAATAAAAAAACGTGAACCCCCCTGTTTTTCATGAATTTCTTAGGCTATAAAAACATAAATCCTAACAAAAACATACTTTCTTGCAAATTTACAGGGAGTAATATTCCAACAATCCACTCATTAGTTAAGCAAATCGGTCCATTAGAACTGTAGATTTAGTTGTACACAGATTTTTTAAACTGAATTATTATTAGTGTATATTGCTGTATGTACATTTTAAAATGGTCAATCATTGGAGTGCCTACTAGTATTTATAGTTATAATTTAAAAAGTATACCCATGACGTCTGTGCAATGGTTAACGTTAACGCAAGTCAATTGCATGGTAAAACCTACCTTTACCTTTTTACCTTTACTGATAAAAAATTATGTCAATACTGATTTTGCTACTTTGGGCGTCAAAGGCTAAGACTGCCAAGATAAACCATTTGTAGTATAAACTATGTCACGTCACCTCGTTTGCATTTTGCTCGTAGCTCAAGGCCTTGGATGAGCTTGATCATGTATCTATTGCTGGATTTACGTTTAGCAAGGTACCTGCTCATGGCACAGACATGGAGAAAGCGATTATAAAATGAAAAATAAAAGTTACATTTAAAGTACACATCTATAATTCCTCTTACATTATTGTATTCCTATTCCAAATGATAATTTTTCAGTGAAAAACTAAAGCTTTTAAATAATTTTAATTCTAATTAGTTATAAGCATGTTCACTGCTATTCTTGTTATGATGAATACTAATACTGAGATAACCGTGAGATAACTCGTCTGTGTGAGGTCACCAGCAGTCAAAACATCATAGATCAAAACATCAACGCAAACCTTCAGCCTAGGACTTCTGTGTTTTATAATCCCTTATTTTCTTTTGCTTTAAGCCTAAACGTCCTTATAATTTTAGTTATTTATATTTGTGGTATACTAAAATGAATTTATGACAATAGTACGATAATAATGAGCTGATAGTATTACTAGTTTTTATTAATTTGGTTTAATATTATCAACGTTAACTTCTTTTGCAATTCTCGGAAATATTGCAAGTGATTTTGTTGCAAATTTTCTCTGTTACACTCTAGTAGATTTTATTTTAACGCACGAACAATTTCCTAGAATAGTGTCGATGAAAGACACATAATTAACTTGAAACGATTGCTGATAATAATAATTTATGCAAAGTATCATATGAATTTATGGATGTACAGGGTGATTAAAAAAGAATAGCACAATTTAAAAATGTCTATTTAATGAAAGAAACATAATACTGTAGAACCTTCTGTTATACATCATTACAAAGAGTATTGAAAAAGGTTTTTTTATTCAAAAACTAGTTGAGGGATGTTCAATATGACTATCTCCAGATTTAAGCAATATCAACCCGTTACTCAAACTCGTTCCTCACTTTTCGTCCAGAACTTTTCCCTTGCAAAAACACCCATTCCCTTTAAGCTGTTTACACCGACGTTTAATACACCACCTATCAGGAAGTTGAACACCATACTTCGTTCGAAATGCTCACTGAACAACTGTCATTCACTTCTGCCGTACTCAATAACATCAAAAACATCATCTGTTGAGCGGTGGCCATCTTATCAACCGACGCTCTGACTCCTTGTCAACAGCGCCTCAAGCGAACAAAATGAGCGAGCAGCTAAATAAAACTTTATAGCCTCCTAAATTCACCACAGAAAGTGCTTAGCTTTCCTTTTTTCTCTGTAGAGTATTAAGTTCCTAAAATGTGGTATTTATTTTGAATCACCCATATATCTTATGAAATGGGTTAATAAATGTAGTTGAAATAGTAGATGTAAACCTTTAAAATGTTTATATGCCTAACGACATAAGTTGTTAACTATCGGTGATGTTATGGTTAGCTATAGTTCAGCCGGATAACTTGTTTAGATTTCTAGAAAACACAGGTGTTTATTGACTGATCACAACCTCCACCTCGTGTAAACAAGGTCAAACACAATTTCGGACAAAACTGAAGATATTACTCAGACGTCCTTGAAATGTACACTTAGCTCTCTGTCCCTTTCTCCTGGATACATCGTGAGTGACACCGCAACTATATACTATCATTTACTTTGGTGACCCTTTCTACCAATACAGTATAATGGTGTTAGTATCCTTACATCATCAAATTAACTTCTTGAAAATAAAAACAACTTTAAGCTATTACGTAAATACTTTTAAATCCTCTACTTGTATAAATAAATGTTCTATTATAAAACTATACACAGTCAGTGTTAAAGTTATGTCAATCAAATTGTATGCAATAATGTTTCCTAAGTCTCTGCATCTTTACAAAAATATTATTGATATAAATAAATGAATGTGAATAAATGATTTTATTTCCATCAAAAAATTACAAGGTATGAACACTTATAATATTGGAAATATAACTGACCACTTTATCAAGTTGTGTGGTCAGTAGAAAAAATTATAATAATCTAAAAATACACTTTAAATCATAAATAATCATAAATATAAGTTAATAGTTTTATTATCTTTAGTATCCGTTCTATGCCTAGTTTACCGATGGTATTATTTTGTTAAATATTATTTCTAAAGTACTTTTTCTTGTCGATATGCCATGACTTCCTTAATTCGTCACCAATTTCCAAAAGGAGGTGTAATTTTTAAGCTTTTTTACGCACAACCCAGCAAAAATATACACATCACTCAATTAACAGTAGTTTTTTTTCGTAAACACGATCTATTATAGCATTCTGCAAGTAATTTAGACTTGAAATTTTTATTTACTTTATTCGATCAGCTGGAACATTAATTAAATTCAAAACAAACTAATATTTACTTCTCAAATCCGAATGATCGGTTTTTACTTCATCCATAATGACCAACATACTATGTCTGTGTTTTCTACGTTAAATAACTCCATGATGAAATCTGATTTTATTCACTTTAAAGAAGTCTAGACAAGAACAATTCAAAAGTAAGTACCACATGGATACATTAGCTTTTATATTTCTTTATTTACGTCATAGCCTTTATTTCGACATGCCTACCAACAGTTTTATTATTATATTTAAGAATTCCATTCTCAAACATCACCTATTATATTTTCTTTAACGAATGGTTATGTTTTGTCGAATTTGTTACCGACAGGAAACGGTTTATA